CTTAGGGTATTTGAGGGTATGTTTGGTACGATTCACTGGACTGGACTAGGCTAAATAGCACTCGAAACCCATGTTTGGTAACAGACGGGACTAACTTAAATGAGACTATATAGTCCAATAGTGAAAAAAAGGCCTCACTCGCCCGTCTAATATAGTGAGCCCGAAAAGTGGTTCGCTAAATAGCACGTTCCTAAATAGAACACGCTAGTCTGACTCCTCTCTTTAAAAAATATTATGATTTTATTTGTTTTCTTTTTATTATTGTTTTAAATTTTTAATTGAGATTTTTAGCATTTATTTATTTATTAGGTCAAAATCCGTAATTAAATTTAAATATTACAAGAATTATTTTGATATTGCATTTGACCACATTTGTATTTGGAAAATCAAACTATAATAATTGACAAATGCTTGATATTCCTTTTATATTGAAACAAGTTTAATAATTCATGATGTGCTGCTTTCTTTATCGCAAGCAATTATTACCTTGTTAAATTATATTTTTCAGTTTAAAGTCAAAAGTCAAATATACAAAAATTATACACACATATATATATATTTTAAATTATTTTTTACTTGGTCTTCCATGAAAGACGTAGAATTATATAGAGTGAGTTTAGCTCCTTAGTAATGTTTCGACCAACAAAAAATAGAAGATTTGTAGTAGTCTTGGGGCAAGGCTAAGGAGCAACTAAGATAAATCTTGAGAAGCCAAAAAAAAAATATCAAAATTTTATTCTTCATAAACAATCATAATTTTATTTGTTTTATTGTTTTAAATCTTTGAATTGTGTTTCTTTGTAGCATTTATTTATTTTTAGGTCAAAATTTCAAATTAAATTTAAATATTACAAGAATTATTTTTTAGTCCGACACAGCACCAAACATAGGTCTTCACTATTTTTACAACTCAGCTTCTTAGTCCGACGCAGCACCAAACGTAGGTCAGTACTTAATCCAGCTTAGTCCAATCCGAGCTAATGTGAGAGTGTGAATGGCAGTGAGCCAGTTTACATTGTACGGAGTGTTGAAGGGTAACAAGCCAGACTTCCACGTGGCGATGCCGCCCCAGAATGCAAAGCCCTTTTATGCTTCTTTGGTGGATAGCTTCAGAAAATCTTACAAACCAGATGTAGTCAAAGGTGTGATATTGCTTGCTTTGCTTCATGAACTATTAAATCTTTTGTTCAGAATCAGATGTTTTCAATTTTAGCTTCTTTCATTTCGTTTCGAAATGCATTTGATCTCTTTTACGGGTTGTGTGCATGCAGATGGTGTGTTTGGAGCAATGATGAAGGTAAAGAGTTTATTTTACTCTTTCTGCATTATCCTGAGAAATCTCTCTGAGTCTTGGATCATTTATATATAAATAATGGCGTAATAAACAGGTCAACTTGGTCAATGATGGACCAGTCACAATGCAGATTGACTCGCAATCCCCCAAGTAAATAAATAATACTCCCCTGTTGTTTGCAGTTTGTTCCATCTTAGTGTTTGCTTTCGACTTAATTTTTGATTTTGTTAACAATCCTCTCAGGAACTCAAACGATGTGATAGAAGAACAATCATAATTTTCGTCGGTTGGCTTGACGGAAGATTTAGCAATGGACCGGAATTTGAATCTGGATTTGTGGGATGTAATATTCAACTTTCTTGATTGATCATGTGAATTTAAGGTAGCATGTATGGATGCATCAAGTTCAAGTTATGTTTTTGGAGAGATGGCATTGTTCATAAATATTTATACATTTTGGGGTTTTTTTTCTTCTTAAATATATAGCCAAAGCAATACGCATTTACAAAAACATTTCCAACAATCTTCTACAGATTTATCCTAAAACAAAGATAAATGAGCTGCATGAAGGTTTAGGACCTGCCAAAATAAAGCATGCAGCACATTCCTTAATGCTTGTCAAGCTTCCACAAGATGCTATTTGC